TAGGCCCAAACTAAGCTTAAATCAGTGTAGTAAAAGTTCTTGAAGACGTTGCGTTGTCTACGGATATTTTCACATATCAAGACTAGGAATTCTCTTCGATGTAAAGAGATATCCTGTAATCTCGTTCCCGTTTTTTTTCATGTATTGTAAAGTTGTGTGAATTTTTCAATAAATTCTTTTGTCAAAACCACTTGCAATCTGATTCATAGCTGAGCGCCTTGCCGCCGGTTACAATTATCATTCCTCTACTAGGGTAACATAACTGTTGGCAATGGCTGTGTGGTGTCTGGAATTGGACCTGATGATTACAAGGTAAGATAACATTACATGTTTCATCTTTCGTCTTATAGTAGTTATTAAAAGGCTCAGTATCCATAGAAATATATAGTTTACTGCAAAACAAGGTCTTAAATACATTTTGTTATCAAAATATTTCTAATCATAAGATTTTTTTCATACCAGAGTTACCATTAACATTTAAAGATTGCATTGTGGTTTAGGTGAATGAAGCCTTGCAAATACCAGGTCTTCTTTGTCTCCTTGGTTACAACATCAGCTTTCCTCATGTCAACAATAAATACAACAAAGTGTTTGTAGTGTTCGGCATCAATGATAATCCAGAGGTAGGTCACTCCTTCTCCATCTCTCCACTAAATTAAACCATTAAAGTTTGTCTTGTGTTGTTAAATAACCTCATATGATAGTCACCTTATCATTTTGTTCCTGTAATACTCCAGTTTCGAATTTTCTGCTGTACAGGATTAGCCTTAATTTCGTATGGAATTCTTTTGAATACTCATGTGTTACTGTAGTGAAGATCTGTGGAATTTTAAAAGTGTTTGTGTATGTATTATTGAACTAGTTGTACATTCTTTACTCTATCATTGCATTTGTGAACATTCTGATGTTGAAATGGGGCTAAGCCTGTAAAAACGAGTCTCTCATGATCAAGGAACACAGCGGTATTTTAAATTAATAAGAAAATGGTCTATTCCAAAGGCAACCAGATTTTCAAACATGAAGCTTCAGTCAAATTGTCAACTTGTTAGTTAGTTTTGAAATGTTTAATAGATGGACTAGTAGAATGGATTTAAGTTTATTCTAAGATTTAAGTATAGTTTGAGAAACTAAATCTTTTTAAAAGGGCTGCCATTTTGACATACGTTTCTTTGGTTTTCTTTTTACTTTTGTATTCTAGTATCTATGTATATTATATATTAAAGATATTTTTATAAGATTTTGATAATATTAATAATAAATTAATAATTTTTAATGCATTTTAATGTTTTCATGAAATGATATATTTTCAATGCAATAGTTTTTGATAGTTCATACAATTTATCTAAATATATATTTTAAAAAAAGTTTTTGTTGTGAATTTTTATATGATATTGTTAATGATCAATGTTAATATTTTTGTAAAGCGTTGTTGAACTAAACGGAATTGATGCTAAATAAAAGATGGTTAATATTATTATTAATATTATTATCATTATTATCCATTTATACATGGTAGCCTTTAAAGCTAGAAACTTGTGGGGTCGTGTATCCTCCATACATACTACATTTAGTATTCTATACACTAAACACATGTTGATTTTTATGGAGGGAAGAAATCCAGAGAACCTGGAGAAAAACTCTGTGGCACAGGAGAGAACAACACATCAAACTAATTCAATTCACATGTGGCGACTGTAGAGCTTGAACCAGCAACCCAGCCGTTGGATTCACAGTGGTGAAAGACACCGCATTAGCAGTGTATGCCCCCCATTATTTACTAATATTAATTTCCATATTTACATTAGAACCTTGTGTCGAATGAGGCCAGTGGAACATTTTGTAATAAAACCTGGAAAACGTTCTTTGAAAGGACTGGAATAAAATCAACTGATCTGTGGATGCATGGTCTGGTAGGTCAATGACAGCATCAATTTGTACTAGGTTTGTACCATTCCTGGAATTCCTGGAAAATTCCTAGAAATTTCTAGGAAATTCCTGGAATTCCTGGGAAACCCTGGAATTGCTGGAAAACTTTTGTCTTTGGTAAATGTGACATGGCATGGAATGAAGGAGTAAGGGTAAGAGTAATGATATAATAAGCCAGCTAAAACATCAATTGATCTGTCAATCAGTCACAATATAGGCTTTACACCATACATGATGACAGCCATGACAGGAGGCACAACAATGGTCTTTTCGTCATGGAAAACTGAATTCTTTCTCATGTAAATCAGTTGAGGTCCGATTCCATTGTCCCTGCCTCCTGTCATGGCTGCCATAAGCTTTTTTCAATGGAACAGCTCATTCTTTCTTTCTTTTCTGTTTAAGCCTGAAGAGAATAGAAACTTGTTCAATGCGCGTCTATTCCCAGTAGTTCATCACATTGGTAATGATAGCGATGATCCACCTCTCTATGACTGTTTGTGGTTGGCTGGTATCAATGTGAAGACCAGCAATGAAACCATGATTCAAAGGTAATTCTCAAATACGATACTTTTACATGTTGGGCATAGTCTCAAAGCATTTTAAGGTTGAACACAAGAGAAGTATTAGAAGAAGCACCATATATAGAGTAGAGTGCTTCTTAAAACGTCTCTCAATCTCTAATAGGTGCTTAATAACCATACGCAGCACAGAGAGCAAGGCTTATATTTCTTTTTTTACTGCTATTTTCAAAAACATGCCATTTCTGTGGCTGCAAGCTGCATGCTGAAATTTGATTTTTCACTGCCGCAAGTCAAAATCATTAAAGGTACTGACCGACTAGTTTTGATCGACAACAGCAAAAAAACAAATTTTAGCGTGCAGCTCTCAGCTACCAAGTTCGCATGTGTATTGAAATTAATAAAGCCGAATAAAATACAAATTCAAATAGCCACTGTTTTGGATACTTTAAATACCTTTGGATACAAATAAAGTAAGGGAAATATGCATGCTACGTAATCTCATAAAGCACAGTCCTTGACCAATCAAAAATCTAGATTTATTGAAGTTATTTTATAATGCTGATGGTGATATTGATGAAGGTTCGCACAACAAAAGGTGATGGTTTTACCCCTTCTCCTTCCATGCTACCCCATTTGAAATTATTTATTTATTTAATATTTAACTTTGCCTTGAGTTCAAAATGCCAAGTTTATTACATACTTGTTGAAGACTCACAGATCTGTAGTTGAAAATTTGTAGTTTAATTTTCCAAACGTTTTAGATCTGCTATAACAATTTCTTTTCTTAAATTATATATATGATAACCTATGCAGTCAGTAAAGGCCTATGTATTGTGAGGGCTTTACCAAACCCTTTAAGTAACTCATTCCAGGTGGTTTTCGTCGTTGCGGGTCTCTTTAAAGGAAATCCTCTCCAACATTGACCTTGGAGTAGAATTCTATGCGAGGAGACAGTTGTTCTTTGATATTGGACGGCGCCATGTTGAAGCTGCGTTGATGGGTGGGACCAATGAGTGCTTCCTGCCATTCCTGAAGACATGCGCAGTAGAAGGCTTCCATAAAGAGATCCTAGAGACAATGGACAATGGTAAGGAGATTATTACTCCAACAAACGTTATCAAACTTCATCAATTTTTATTGAAATTTATCAAAGACAGAGCATGTATGGCTAACTGCTCATAAAAATCAGAGAACTCGGGCAAATCCCTTGAATCAAGGGAGAGACCCAACACACTCTGCTCACATGTGATGTTGAGTTCAAGATTCAAACTCTTGTCGCCCATGTTGTCTTTTATCTGTTTGTCATGTCATTTGTCTGACAGTTGCGTCCAGTAGTATAGTGGGTAAAGTTGCGTGCAATATTTGGCCCTCTATGGGCCTGGCATCACCTCCCCTGCCTAGTATTACTGTTGGAGTTAAATTGTTTTTATCTGTGTGTCATGTAATTAGTCTGACAGTTGCGTCCAGTAGTGGGTCGTCTATAGGTGTACTGATAGTAATACTATAGTATTAATAATGGTGTTTAATCTTTTTATGTACGTGTCATGTCATTTGTCTGACAGTTGCGTCCAGTAGTGGGTCGTCTATGGGCGTGGCAGCACGTACCCTAGCCTGTATTGCAGATGTTCTCGGTGCAATGGCTGGAGAAAAAGCAGGACTTCGTAGCGGACCTGCGCAAAATGATGCATGGAAGCACGCGTTCCAACTGTTGGAGGTACGTCTGAGGTTATAATTGTGCATGATTGTCTTCTTTTATTTCAATATTAGATGGAGATATGGTTTGTAGTAACCACCAATTTTTCACAACCTTTGCAACACGTTTTACCCACTATTCCATACAGGGGCGTAGCGAGGACCTAGGAGCTGGGGGGGGCATTGATCCAAAATAAAAAAAAATTACTCCTCCCCAAGAAAACAAATAAACGCTCAAACAAAAATTTAAGAAACAAACATTATTTTATTAACCATTCTTATATCTTAGGTTGTAATAATTTATTTTCCTCTTTCGTTTCGGTTTAATATGTTTTTTTGTTGTTATTCTTTTTTCAAAAAAATTTTTTTCAAAATTCTGGGGGGGCACATGCCCCCCCCTCGCTACGCTACTGATTCCACATGTGTTCGACCAGGAATATACATCCTATAGACCTCTTTACCTTGTGCATATTGTTTTCCTATTTCAGACCACGTGTCATTACCTAGAGTATCATTTCTTTGTTTAACGGTAGCACGTGACAAGACCCATGAATATGGATTCAATTTTTGTTTCTATTTTTCGTGCCAGATTTAATTTTTCATTATTGCTTTCATTTCATTTCAGGACAAGAAAATCGAAGATGGTGTGAAGGCGTTGGCCCTGGAGAGATCCAAGTGGATGGACAGGTACAAGTTACTTGATAATTTAATAAAATAATTATTCATTTATATTGCCAATATTTACCAATTGAAAATTTTTCAAATGCACATGTTTTTTTCAAATGCGCATAAAATTCCAAACAAATTCAGCTCTCAAAAATAGTTAGCTGAAACTTCACGAATTATACAAAGTCTTGATAGTAATTTTATCCTTTTACTCTTTTTCGTAATGTATAAAAATATTTCAACGAGGCGGAAAAGAAGGAACGGTTTTAGCAGATGAAGCCGTTAAAATGATATTTACTCAGGGCTGCACACTGACCCGTGTCAAAGAAACGTGTGACGGACCACTAGACCAGGACAGGAATTTTAAAATGAGAATTACCAAAATATTGAATTTTTTTCCATAAAAACTTACGTAAATGGCTATTTTTCCTCTTTAGAATGAAATTGAGAATAAATTCCACTCAGACTGGCTTTCTTGTGTTTTTCTTAAAGACCAGATTTGTTGATCAGAGCAGCGCGCCACTACGAAGGAGCCGAGCAGATCCTAAGAAGACACGCTGTCATGACAGCCAAACAGGTCGGGAGCAACTCTTTCTAGGTGCATGTGACGTCATATCCGCCATGTTCGTTGACATCAGCAAAGGATTTGTCGTTGATTTATTTTTTCGTCAACCAACATGATGGCCACGTCTTTTGTTCTTGTACATATAACGTCATGTTGGTTGACTTTGACATAAGTTATGGTCTTGGTTTCTCCACCAACATGGCGGCCTCGTAGCTCTTTACCAGAAGTGGCAGAGTGTGCCGACGCACTCAGAATAATTTTAAAAGTGATCTATTCCTTTTATTTTTTTCCAAGACTGAGAAACCAGGTTCCTTGACCCAGCATGCACTGCGTAGACTAAATTAATATTATATTCATAATTGTATTTATTTAGAAAGGGTGACAGATGTCAGCCATTTTCAGATACTTCTAGAGCAAAGGCAGCACCTTCTAGTCTGATATTCTAAGACCCTGAGTGTTCCAAGTGGTCCTGGTATGGGCTTACTAAGCCCGATGAGAATTTTTATACGACTTTTTTTGACCACATTTTTCTATAGTTTATGAAGTTTGAAAAGACTGACATTCCTCCCATGGACCGCTGGGTAATCGCCGAAGCGCCAGGTGAGGAATTCACATTATGACGGCGTTCACGATCAACGTTTCTGAAAAATAGATTTTTTTATTCTTTCTTAATTATTGCGTTCTCAAGCATGTTACACATCCATCACTTGTCACCGTCACCATCATCATTATCATCAATCTTTATCTGTTGTCTTCAGTACGGATCAGCTTAACCGGTAGATAACACCTCTGCATAAAAAGCATCACAATTATCATCATTATTTATCATCATCATCATATTGTTCCTTTTTTATTAAATTTTCGAGTGGTGAATAAACAGAAATATTAACGTCTGCGTACAAAATATTTTGATTTTTACTTCTTCAACAAGTATTTTGACTGTCTAGATTATCCGCACCACATTCATCGCCATCATTATCATCATCATTACTATTTTTGAATTTAGTTCGAATCGACTTCAGTGGTGGATGGACAGACACGCCTCCTATTGCATACGAACACGGTGGAGTAGTTACGAACGTCGCCATCAAGCTGGACGGCAAGGTATTCAGCATTTAACGGACAGATATTGCTAACGTTGATGTTACATAATGGAGCGAGTAAGGCTCATGTCAAACGTCGAACTTCACATGAGCCGAACCTAATGGCATCAAAGAAGACCGCCTTGTTATCCATTGTATCAATTATGTTCAGCTAATGTGAAGTTCGACGTTTGACCTGATTAACCTTACTTCATCTTGATGTTAAAAAGTAACATTTACCACTCTTTACTTTACTACGCGCTGATCGAGACAACAGTCGCGACAGGGAAATTGGGCAATACACTTCCGTCAATCAAAAAAATTGGTCGGTACACCTTTATGTTTCTTATTGGCGTTAGTGTATTGCCCTATTTCCCGATCAGCGCGTAGCTGTGAAAAGAGTGATAAGCTAGTTAAGTTTCAGTTGAAAATTTTTTGAGACAGAACTTTACTTGTCATTAGATCTTAACAAAGTTAGTAACTCAGATTTACATTGTAATTTCTTAGAAACCACTGCAAGTAAAAGCCAAAAGAATTCATAAGTAAGTATCGGCGGGGGACTCAGCTCCCCCTTTCCCCTCCTCCCCCCCCCCCCCCCACACACACACACACTCCAACCCCAGCTCCACCGCCAGCTCCACCGCCATTTCCCCCACACACACCTTTCATAGTTGGCCCCTCCACTTTCATATCGTTCACCTCTATACTGGGTGTTTATTGTTTTGTCATTTTCAGGTTTCAGATAATTCTAGTTATTCTAGCCGGAAAACACAGTGTTCGCGTTGTATGTGAAAAGTTAGAAGACTTGGCAGATTACTCGCAACCTCATGCTCCAGGTAACGCTTTATTTTGTCACGCTACAGCTACTAGCTTGCCAGTGGTTACAAACATCGGAAGAATAGTGAGTGTAATGTATACCCAGTACAAGCCTTTTGAGAATTTCTGTTTGAGACATATCCATGTTATAACAAAGATACCATACTCAAGGGATTGACATCTGGGTTGAAGTATTCATTTCTTTAAATCCAACATAAGGGAACGTACACTACCCTAGCTAAAGAGATGACCATTAGCAGTTATCATTTATGCTTTTCAATACTGGATGTTTCAGGTGCCTTGATCAAAGCCTGCTTTTGTGCAGCAAATATAGTCGTCCTAGATTCTCCAAAGTCACTCGCTGACCAGCTCAAAGAGCGATACGGCGGCGGCTTCGAGGTACATTCCTCCGCTGACGTTCCTTACGGAAGTGGACTGGGCACGAGCAGTATTTTAGCAGGCGTTGTCATGGGAGCCGTGTTGCGAGCCTCTGGACTCACTGCAGATGTCACATCTCTGATCCATGCTGTAATGGTGGTGGAGCAAATGTTGACCTGTGGGGGTGGGTGGCAGGATAACGTTGGTGGTCTTGCTCCAGGATTCAAGATTGCTAGCTCCAAAGCTTCGCTACCTATCGAAGTAGAGTACGAAGTGCTGAGTGTGTCCGATTCGATGGTTGATCAACTGAACAAATGTCTGGTTTTTGTTTACACTGGGAAGACAAGATTGGCCAAGAACCTCTTGCAGGTGAAAGAAGACTTAGAACCTAATGACATCAAAGAAGAGCGCCTTGTTATTCATTCTTTCAATCAGGTTCGGCTCTTGTGAAGTTCTACGTATGACCTGAGCCTAAGTCTGTATAACAGTGAAAGAAAATAGACGAAGTCATTCAAACTCAAAAGTTACATTAGAATTTATTTTCAACTGGCACGAGGGAAACATGACGTCACACCCACCAACCAATCAACTCGCGAGTTATTTTTAACCTAGCTAGCAATCTGATGGACCAAGAATTTATTGAGCGATGGAATTGTCCCCTCTTGAAAGTTAACTTTTTTACTTCTTTTTTTTGTCCACCAGAATGTGGTTCGTAATTGGTACGGCAGACAGCCAAACATAGTCAAAGTCGTAGATGATCTGGCTGATAATGCTAAAACACTAGCCAAAGCACTAGTAGATGGTAGGTTAGGTCAACATAAATGAGGCTAATTAGTGCTTTCTGCTCTGCTCTGCTCTGCTCTGTTTATTTGTTTGTTCGTGTGTTTGTCTGTTTGTTTGACTTGGAATTTACCTTTTTTATTTCGCGCATAGGCTTGGCACTATCTTAAAGATTTGGTGACGGTGGACCCGAATTCCCACTACTTCATCACCCAATCATGAAATTAATATTATAATTATCATATCGTTCTTTTTTCTCTTTCTCTTTCGTTTTCTTTTCCTTTTCCTTTTTTTTTTAAATTTTTATTATTATTTTTTTACACCCTTTCTATTTTCTTATTTCCTCTTATTTAAAATCGTTTTTTAACTTAATTTCCCTAGGGGATCTAACCCTATTTGGACAGTGTGTCAGTAATTACAGAGAACACAAGAAACTCATCGCACCAGGTTAGTAGCTGTATGGTTGTATCTCTGAACATCACGTGTCTTGTAATTTTGTAACTAATGGGCAACTTCAATGTATACTCGTGTTTCAGGAACCGAACCAGAGGATATACGTAGAATGATGGAAGACATTCAACCTTATGCCTACGGTAAGTTGTAATGATGTTGATGATGATGATGGTGGTGGTGGTGGTGTTATTTCTGCTGCTGTTGATGTTGTTGCTGCTGCTTTGGTTTTGGAGGATGATGTTGCGGAAAATCCAAGGTAATGATGAAGATATTGCTGTTGATGTTGTTGCTACTGCTGATACATTAAATTGTTTTGGCTCCTGATATTACTGTTGCTGTTGTCGTTGTTTCTGCCTGTGCTGCTGCTGCTTTTTCTTCTACTGCTGCTGCTTTTGCTGCCAACGAGATTTTTGATGTTTGTGATGTTGCTTGTGCTGAAGTTGTTGCTGTTATTGCCATATTTTCTGCTATCGTTGTCGTGTTTTTGTTGTGTTGATGGTGCCGTTAGTGTAGTTGTCATTCCTAGCAGGCCCTTTTTGAACTTATAAAGCACAGTCAGCTATACTCAATCTTAAGATACCGATTGCAAAAATGGTCACTGACAAGAAGCATCCCTTAATATTGTAATACTCTCTTCATTCTATATAATAATATTCCATGTCTTCACCTCTTCAGGCCAGTGTCTCGCAGGAGCAGGTGGTGGTGGGTTTCTGTGCGTGATTGCAAAGTCTCCTGAAATGCGCCAGAAAATCGAAGAAACTTTAGGAAACACAAAGGTATAAAGAATGCAAAATCCTAACCATTAGTCGGTATTGCATTCTTGGTATTTGATAACGCAGTTCTCAGCAACCTCACTAGTACACATGTATGACAAGTTCGTGAATGTGCATAATCACTTTGGTTCAATCATGCAAAGGTTGAACGGTGATCCAGTGTTCTTCTTGTTGTATTCTCTCTCTCTCCTGACCTGCGAAATACAAGGCAAATAACGTAACAAGAGAATTCAATAGGGAACTCAGTAAGGTGCAGCCGGGTGCTTCTCCAACGTGCGATGGGAAGGGCCGGTTAGAAGAACGTGGCATCCTGCCTTGACTTTCTTATTAAAACTGTTAATTTATTCTTTCATTTACTTATAAAAAATCAACTCCTAAATTCTAACTCGATCTTTGGGCTTTCACCTAGTTTGGAGTCTAGCTCTGTCGTGATTGTCCCACGCTGTGATACGACAGCGAAAAGCTTTGGCAGATTTTTTTAATACTTTCATCTGTTCAACCAATCATCCATCCATCCATTTATCTATGTATGCATTCAGGCATCCATCCATTTAACTACTCAATCCATTCACCATTCCTTCGTTTATTTGTTTATTTATTCTTTCTTTTTCGTTTTACCAGTTTTCAGATGAAGTTGCCTTCCACGAAGTTTCTATCGATAACGAAGGTCTCACAATCAGAATTGAATAATTAAGTAATATAAGAAAATATTGTTTGGTCAATTAAGACAATTAGATTGTATAAATGATACACACAATACGTCTGGAAGAACTTGGGTAAACCTATTAGTACCTATTAGCTTTTTCCGTGCGTCTTCAAGTTCGTCTCATACATTGAAGAAATAGAAAACACACGCGCACGCTTTTTGCAGTTATAGAGCACTTGCGAATGGGTAGCGCAGAACTCAAGAAATTTTTTAAAGAGAAACGCGGCGCGTAGTAGGCTCAATCTCCAGCCGACCATTGTGGGCGCACGAAACCACGATGGCTAGGGACTGAGCCTAAACGCGTAGCAGACACAGGCAGTTTTTAGTGTACCTTGAAACTCCCGCCACGAGTATAAAAAGGCAAAAGACATGGCGGTCATGTTGGTTGACATAGCCAAGACCAAAGCTTACGGTTCGAGTGAACCAACATGGCAGCTATGAAGACACATGCACTTCAAGAATTGAAGAAGCTTGTGTGACGAGTAAAATTTTCACATATATATTTAATATTTTTGCACAAGTGAATATCATAAATCCGGCGCGCTCATTGGTCACAATTTTCTTATGCTGCTATTTATAACCTACAGGTAAATATAGAGCGCACGAGCACGCTGGTTTGTCGATTTGTGCCGCTTACAGAGATAAATAATGTCTGGGGAAAATTCAAAAAATAACATTCTTTCTTCGTTATTTATTAATTACTTGCGTCTCGGTAAATATTGCCCGATATTCACTTTGCCTTCGGCAAATAATTGTTACTATGTTCACTGGAACACGTGAATAGTCAAAATAATTCCATACGAAATCGAGGGTAACCCTGTAGAACAGAGAATTCGAACTGGAGTATCAAAATAGATAAGAATAAAAAACAAAGAAATGAATTCTAACCAGTTGGAGTTTGAATAATTTAATTCTCTCCTCTCCTCTTTTGTCCTTACCTTTCTTTCTCTCCCCTCCTAAAGGCCGGTTTAGACGGTACGATTTTCGCCTACAACTATTGTATACAACACGCTCGCACCATCCTAAAACTCGAGTCGTAGCGTGTAAATCAAGCCTACAACTCGTCTACGACAGACGCGAGTGTGTTATATACGAAAGTTGTAGGCAAAAATCGTTCAGTCTAAATCGGCCTTAAATCTCCATTTCCATTCTGTATTCACTGAAGAGTTTAGCAGCTTAAATAAGCAGACAACAATTGGGACAAATTTCTGGGGGCAACCTACTTTCTGGAGTCCGCCGCTTTCCTCCAACGACATCTCCTTTGGGGACTCGGACTTCCTGTGGAGACGGGCTTCCTTTGGATAGGAGGGAAAGGATGTTCCGCCCTATACTTCAAAGCAGAAATCCCAATTACGTTGTACACTTTCTTTTGTCCAGTTAATTAGCACCAATTGTCTTATTATTTTCATGAGGCAATACAAATTTGACGCAAAGCATTTTGGTAGTCGTAGTAAAATGACGCCATCATACGTACTATATTTTTTCCCTTTTTGATTTTGGCGTATAGAAATCCAGTGTTTTTTTTATGATTGGATCTGTAAGGGATGGCAAACTGTGATTAAAAACATTTTTACTTTTCGAAATGTATAGAAACCAAGAGAATATGAAGTAATTAATATTCTCTTGATACTTAGTACTTAATATTCTCTTGATAGAAGCTTTACTAGAATCCAGTGGATCAGATACGTGACCGAGAGTCCCCTACCCACCCCACTCCTAAATTTTTTAATCAAACCTGTTTAACAAATAATCGATCAAAGCGTGCTGTGATTGGTCGATTCCTTGCAAAACGCGCCTTGCAAATTTTATCTCTGGTGATACTCAAATGAAAAAAGTTCCTCAAGACCTAAAATCGTCTCAATTTACGTCTAAAAAGAAAGAAATCTTGCCAGGAACGATTACAGAAAGGTAAGACGTTTGTTGCATAACACGACCCTTAAGTTTCCCGCTGTTTTTGAATCCTGTCTATCAGTCACGTTGGTCAGTACAAAGTCCAATATCAATAAAGCTTATCAAATATGTACGACTGTACCATGCTTTTATTTTCTATGTTAATTTTCCTTCAATAACAATAACATAATATATCTATTATCATCCATAAGTTGAGTTTGAAATTGTGTACAAAAAAGTATACRATTCTTGTTTTTCAAATACTCGCTTGAATAAATACCAGTAGTATGGATCTTGATAAACATTTGATTAAGAAAATAAACGCAATATTTGTTGGACGTTTCGATGACATCTTGACCGTATGTATCATCAAAGCGTTTATACGCAAAGCGAGGCACATTGTGTCGCATATAAACAAAGCCCTATTCGTATTACAAATTCGTTGTTATATCCGAGCTTCGTGATCGTTGTCTATCAAAGCCTTAGATCTCTGTTGTCCACAATGGATTCAACGACTACTTCAGAGGGACAAGTTTCGTCTTTACAACACTTTAGTTCGTTAGCTTTCGAACAATTTCAATGCTTTCGTTCAAATCAAGAACTGTGTGATGTATTCTTATCTGTCGATGGTGTCCACATTCCTGCTCATAGATTGGTTCTAGCTGCTTCAAGTCCTTATTTTCGAGCTATGTTTTCTGGGAAAATGGCCGAAAGCGTTCAGAAGGAAGTCTTCTTGTCTGACTTGGATGGAAAAGCCGTGGAAAAAATTATTGATTTCTTCTACTCCGGGAAGGTCGCGATTGATGAAGATAACGTACAGTCCTTGCTTTATGCTTCATGTCTTCTAGCAGTAAAGGACGTTAAAGAATATTGCTGTGACTTTCTACAACGAGAAATCACAGTTTCAAATTGTCTGGGGATTCGCGCCATCGCCGATACACTTTCTTGTAGTGAGCTCTTCGAAGCTGCAAACCTCTATGTCACTGAAAACTTTTCTGTGGTTCTCGTCTGTGAAGAATTCCTACTTCAACCTTTCGAGTCGCTAAGCACCTTGATTGATTCAGATTATCTCAATATCTCTGGTGAATGTGAGCTTCTTGACGCCGTCGTAAAGTGGCTTCATTGGGACAACCTGGATCGAGCGAGGTATGCACGCTCACTTCTAAAGCGTATATATTTGATGAAAATACATGTCAGCCGGCTGGAGAGTTTATTGAACGACTCCATTATATCCACTGACTGTGAATGTCTTGATCTCATCCTTGAGGCGTTAGACACCCTTGCGTCTGAGAATGTATCAAGTGCATATGAATTTCCATTGTTTTTGAGTAGAGTTTATGGTAAAGCTATGGAGGTGTTGTTTTCAATTGGGGGTGAATCAGCAGGAGTAACACTAGATTCCACAGAATGCTATGACTTGAAAGGCAACACCTGGGATTGGAATATATCTGTAAGGGATTTAGAGCCTCTTTCATTACCAGCCCTGGAGCAAAGTAGGAATAACGCAACGTCAAGTACCACAGGCCGTCATGTCTATGTTATTGGTGGAAGCTATTCATGGAAGGCCCTTGATGTTGTAGAGAGGTATGAATGGCCAGAAAACAAGTGGAGGCAGCTGTCTTCACTGAACAAAGGTCGGCTGGGTGCAGGGTCTGCTATTGTTAACGGACAGCTGCTTGTTGCAGGAGGGTGTGGTGAAGATGGATATTTATCAAGTGTTGAGTCGTATGACCCTCTTTTGGATAAATGGAGCCTAATAAAGCCAATGAATCAGCGTCGTAGTTATCTGGGTGTGGCTGAGCTCAATGGATATGTTTATGCCGTGGGTGGCTATTGTGGTGTATCAGGTGAAAGTGATGGTTTCATGGCTAGTGCAGAGTGTTATGTTCCTTCTAATGACATGTGGATACCAGTGACACCATTGTTACAGCCAAGAGCTCACTTTGGTCTTGTTGCTGAAGGAGGTATGTACTTTTATAGAATGGGATGTTTTTGGAGGGATTAGCTATAGAAAAGCGTGGGTTTGGATAGAATAATGGGATAATGGCTTGTAAACCATGCATTCAACAGGGTGGCCCACTCCTTTTCCAATTAGTATTATTTATAAATTATATTTAAATTATATGAAATTTATTTTAATGCCAATCATAAAATATGGCTTTCCATTTTTTGTATTCTCTATTTTTCTTCTTCTCTTATCTCCTGTATTCATACTTTATTTGCTTCTCCACTCTTGCTTAAAATTGTTTTCTTTCTTGCTTAAAATTGTTTTCTTTCTGCAAATTTTTTTAACCATAATTTATAACTTTATACATTAGCATTATTTTTCTATCTGACAGTAAACTGTTATCTTTGATTTCTAGGTTCATTGTATGCTTTGGGAGGCTACAACAGCTCTTGGCTGACATCATTAGAGAGGTTTGATCCAAGAGAAGGACAGTGGTACCGCTTCCCTTCTATGAAATCCCCTCGCAGTAGTGCAGGGGCATGCTCCATTAACAACTGCTTATACATTGCTGGTGGATTTGATGGTGTCAAAAACTTGAATTCTGTAGAATCTTTTGATATTAGAGCTGAGAAATGGAAGCAAATGAATCCTATGAGAACAGTACGTTTTGGAATGTGTCTTGCAGCATGCAGACTTTAGAGCAGCCAACCAGAATGCAAGAAAAATCTCTGCAGAAATTTGAACCAACAGTTTTAGTATTTCGGAATCCATACTTTTGTATTCATGAGTGTTTGTCAGTTCTCCAAATTTCTTTTCGTTTTCTCCAAATTAGACCAAAAAATACAATATGTTTTCAAGTGAACAACTCAATAATGTACAAAACTTAGCCAAAACATTGGTGTCAGAAAAATTTTATCTTTCTGTAAATAGCATAGAAAACATTTAGGTATGGCCCATTGTGTAAATATATTGTTAATTGTAATATGTCTCCATTCAAATTTCCATACTCATTTTGAAAAAAAAAGGATTTTTTAATTAGATTTTAGATAACATCATTTTCATTTGCATGTACTTCAAAATATTCTAGTATTTATTCTTTTTCTTTGTAAATATATATATATCCTGCATGATTGTAAATAGATTTTCTAGTACAAATGTTTTTATGTATTATTCTTAGTAAATAAAGGTTGTATTGTATCATATTGTATTATGTTTCAATTATATCATCAGGGCCCAGTTGTTCAAAGCCCGATTAGTGCTAATCCTGGGTTAACTCTTAATAAGACCTATAGAGTTAATCCTGGATTAGTGCTAATCCAGCTTTGAACAACCCGGCCCTGGGTAATACTCCAGTTTCGAGTTCTCTTTGGTCAGCCTTAGTCTCGTTAGTGTCTTAAAATATTCAGCCATTCAACCAAAACCTGTGGCATTTTAATCAACTCATATTGTTCCATAATATGTACATTCCTTGTTGAATCTTAATAAAAGAATAGAACACATTTGTACACAATCGAGGCTAAGACAGAGCAAAGGCAAACTCAAAATGGGAGTGTTGTTCCACAGTAATGGCAACTTGCGTGGGTAACAGCTCAAATTTGAGTCAGCGGTCATGGGTAAGATCGCAAGCTCACCTGCTTAGTAATAATAATAATAATAACTATTAAAGATGCATATTATTTTGGGGGGAAAAAACAACTCGGAATTAGCTACAAAAGTGCAAAAGTTAAGCTTATTCCTTTAAGATTATAAAGAAAAATTTGCAAGCCATTTTAATTTATATTAACCAATGGCTGAGGTTTGTTTTTATTAAGATTTACGTATGTAAAAAAAATATATGTAAAAAAATGTTCGTAAAAACAAAACAAAAAAACAAACAAGAAAATATATAAATTAACATAAATTAACAGAATCATGTTAATATTTATTGAGACCCACAAACCACTTTTGTTTTGGAATGGCTTTCACCTCTAAATTAAAAGTACTAAAAATTACAGAAAATATCAATTTAAAAATATGCAAAATATTTTTACTTTTTCTTCACAATTAATGTTCATGTATCTCTTAGCAGACATCATACATTTATTCTTTTATGTCTTTTTGTTAAAATACACCACAGTCTAAAAGGCTGAATTGAGTACTCCATTTAAAAATACTAATAACTAAACAATTCAAAAAGAAGAAACTAAAGGAATATATAATATTTTAGCAGCTGAGCTATCTTTGTATTGCCTGTAAGGTGCACTGGCAGACCTCAATTATATCATCTGTGTAACAATTGTGGTTTTGGCAAGCTTTTCTAATGTTTGTACTAAAATGCTTTTCCCTAAAAACCTGGACCATTTTCTTGTTACATGCAAAGTTTTCAAGCCGTCATGTGAGTTATTTTGGGCAATTTGACACATGACATACATTTTTCAGCCTTCATACTTAATTACTAGCAAAATAAATATAAAACAGACAGAGAATGGTAGCCAAGAACTCACAGATGTCTGGAGTTGTCTATGTCTTGTCTGAATATGTATATGTAAAAGTATGATATGTTAATATGCATTTATATAATGTATATGATATGTTTTTGTTTTAATTTTATTTTTATATAATTTTATCTGCACTAGATATGTACTTAAAAACCTTAAGATAAAGTATAAAATTATGCAAAAATATAAAAATCATATTGTGAGAATGATTCTTTTGCGTTTTTATCTTAAACTATCCAAGTGTACGAATACAATGTTTCAAAAAGGAAGCTAATTAAGCCAAACGCTGTAAAACAAGGCATATCAAGACCAATAGGAAAAGTGGGTATACATCTTATAGACAAAAAATGCTAACAGCAAGAACTAAAGAGTAGATAACAATAATATGGCTTTGTTAGCTTGAAGTAAAGCAGTGACGAATGTCTCAATATTACACTAATAGACTTTTACAGTGAATCGAAAAACCGTGGGCACCTAGAAATATTCCAGGAATGTTCTATTCTTTGCTCAATCAGAATTGACTTTCTATCTACAAGATAATAATGAAAAATGGTTTTGATTGGCTATTGAACATTCTTGAAATATTTCTAGGTGCCCTCGGTTTTGCAATTCACACTGTAATAATTACTGATCTTATCAAAATCCATTGTTTTCAGTCTGCATTATCCCAACGAATGCATAGAGGAAAATCAGACATATTTAGTTCATTCATTATTGGCTTTGTTTCTATGATACACAAGCTACAAAGAAAACAATTGGATTTTGATAAGATCAATAATTATACCTACGAATGCTGCATGCCTCAGTAATTATCTATTAAATAACTTGTGTGATGTCTTTTTAGCTGTGACTTCTCTTTTGTGATTTTTCACATTTTCCATGCATCATTTCATAGACTATCACTGAAGGTCGTTAAAACATCACACAAAACTAAATTACCCCCAGGATATCCCCAAGGTAAGCACATATTATACTAAATATAAATTTTTACCTCTAAATTAAGAGTTCTAAAAATCACTGCAAATATCAATTAAAAAATATGCAAAATATTTTTCCTTTAGATTAACATCTTCATAATGCCTCAAAAATGCAGGACTTATTATGTTTTTTAATCTGCATAAAAATAACTCATTAATCAAGCGTAGGAGATCAGTTGAACACGATTACTGTGATATGAACAAACTAGAAGGTAGTACTTCTGGAATATTGCTAGTGCCACTGGAATCTTTTTAGTAGGGAACTTGCCTAGACAACTTCCATCAGGCTTAAGTATATGAACACTGTGATTTTCACTGTCACAGACAAGAATGAGCTCATTAATATAATCAACAGCCAATCCCCTTGGACACTGAAATGCACCAGCACCAGCACCTTGCCGACCAAACTGCCTGACATATTGACCCTCGGCGTTAAACACTTTGATGCAGTAATTACCACTGTCTGTTGTGAAATACTCATTGTCAATGGCAATGGTATCCAAAGGGTTATCAAATCCCTCGGTACCTCTGCCACCAAACTGGAACTTGAATACTCCATTGTTAGAAAACACCTGTACTCTATTGTTATCAGAATCGGTTACAATAATGTCCCCTGATTTATCAACGGAGAGTGTCCCACTTTGACCAAAATCACCTGGACCACTTCCTTGTTGGCCAAACTTACTCACAAATTCACCATTTCTGTTGAATATTTGAACTCTACTATTCTTGCTGTCAAACACTATTATATTATTATAGGAGGTGTAAACAACTCCAGTTGGGCCCTGGAATTGACCATTGTCAATACCTTTCTTCCCAAACTCAAATTGGAACTTCAGTCTTGAGTCAAAAACTTGTATGCGATTGTTAAAAAAGTCACTGACTGCAATTTCTTCAAATTCATTTGTAGACACCCCAGCTGGACCCTTAAAGGAGCCCTTTTTACTTCCCTTGTGGCCAAGTTTGTGTAATACTTGACCTGATTGGGACCAATCTATACTTGATACCGTCGAGGAAGGTCTTGATTGAGCCTTGAGGAAGTTTTTACTAACTTTACCAAATTTTTTATTTTCAAGAATCTTTTCACAAGTAGCTTCTGTATTCATGGAAAATACAAGTCTTTCATCGTATGTGGATGTATCTGCTGGTTCTTCTAGATTTAACAGACTGACTTCATCCAATTGCTGTACAAGAGCAGTTGTAATCTCACCTATCTCAATAGCATCGTTCTGCTTGAGAATAGCTTCCGCAAGGTTAACACTATTCAGTGCATTGGAATGCAGCTTGAAGAGAGTACTCTTCTGTTTGTTTATCATGTCTTGTTTCCTGCCATAAAACTCTTCGACTTCCGAACAAAGACTCGTTTCTTGTTTTCTGATAGCCTCTACTAACTGATCAGCTTTGTCATGAATCTCCTTCTCGACCTTATCAACATTGACAGTCAAGTCTGTTAATACTTTATCGAGGTCGGAAATCTTTATTGTCATAGTTCTTACAACTGGTTTCGCCCTCTCGAGAGACAGTTGGATTTCTAACCTTTCTTTTCGTCCTGGTGTAGCTTCAATGAGTCGAACTAAGACTGCGTTAGTGGGAATACAAGACACACCACCTTCAGGGATATCAATGCTTCTCCGACACACTGGACATCTGACTTCCCTGCCATTCCTTCCCACCATCTCAAGACACTCCTTGCAGATATTGTGCGCACAGGCTAAAAACTTAGGCTCCTTGAGTTCCTCCAGACAGACAGGACATAACAACTCTTCGCTGATGACTCGAGAATAATGATTAGAAGCCGTAGCCATTGTGAATTTTATAACATAGTCGAAAGCATTCGTAAACAACGTATCCGAGTCTGCTTGATGTTTGGAGACATGATAGACGTCGATCGAAGTTACATGGCAATCACTTTTTGTTTTTGTTAAATTTTCAAAACAGATATACAATTAAGATTGATTTAGTTTTGTATTATCTTGATTGGTTAAACGCATCACTCGACAAACCGAATTAAGTTGATATCAGCAAGACATCATCCGCAATCCAATATAGTGGGGAAGGGATGTGTGACGGCTAGCAGCAGGCGTTTCTCGGAATCTTTGAGTGGGGCATGGGGCGAATCTGCTCGCTTCTGGTTCACTGAGACTTTTCTTTCATTCTTTCTTTCTTTCTTTCTTTCTTTTGCACACAAATTAACAAGTTTACATTATGATTGACGGAAAATCACGCTTAAAAATAGGTTTAGGAAGAAAACCAAATATGATGATTTATTCTTTCTATCCATAACACCAATTCTGGTCGGAAATCCTGACTCCTTAGGTATGACACTAGACTATTTAGCGGACTGATGTCATCTAAGAACCATCAAGCATTACCCAAGTAATCCTAGAAAGGTGGCTTTGTCATTTGCGATTTGCGTTCACGACTGCATTCCGAGTAGCGTCCGATAATAATTGTTGTTTTGGCCCGAAGAAAAAGCGATTCAAGTCTCCGCCTCAGTCGACATTCCCTCTAGGGTAATTCTCAAAAACCAACCAATATATAACAGCGGACCGATGTAAAAGTTAGAAGTGTCCTGGGGTGGGTATTTCTGTCGGACTAATAATGCTTCATATGCAAAAAAAAAAAAAAAAAAAAAAAAAAAAAAAAAAAAAAAAAAAAAAAAAAAAAAAAAAAAACGAGGCTAACTCCTGCGTAAAAGAGAACTTGAACCTATTTCTCGACCAATGGTTAGCAAAATAAGAACACGACGAAAGGACTAGGAATTCTTAGATATCATGCCACAAGCTTTATTTTTAAATAGGAAATAATTGCTTCGTTATTTTCATGTCTTAAAATGTTCAAAAATGCTTCGCTGATTGTTATCTTAAATCTCCTTGCCTCGAGGCGCTACAAATTTATTGGCTCAATTTGGGTGAACTTATGCCCAACACTGAAAATGAGCTCTATTGGGGGAGATTTAAAGTTAATGATAAGACTAAATCATTGCTCCTGGTTTTTCAAACAAAAACGCCTGCTTTGATGTGACCGATCTTATGCCCATAATGGATGTTTAATGGGAGTTCACAAATGAACAAACACTGCCTTAGATTTTCGCGAAATGTCGTGATAAACTAATATCTCGAACCGAAAATAAAGCTTAAGCAACATAAAATTATCCTTTATTACAATCTATTTCCTCCGCCGGTGTTATCATTACTTGATCGCCACTCACTATACAACCCGTCAAAGTAATTTTTGACATTTGCTATCAGTTTGTTGTAATCGGTTTCCTCTTTCTAATGGAAGTTTGTGATTCATATCCAGATACTTGATGGATGAACTTGGCCAGTTGAAACGAACCCAATAACGAAGACGTACAGCTCATTACTTAGGGGATAGAGGTAAGATGGAATTGTCATTAGTACGAATTTGTTGGAGAAACACTCGTATACTATAATCTTAGATCGCCTGTCGTGATACTGCGCCCCCATGCAACTTTAGACGTGTAAGATATTTATTTCTCTATTATGAGTCATTCACGGCTATTTTAGAGTTGATTCAGATCGATACATTTTTATCATATTTTTTCTAACTAAAATGCACTTTTTAAGAGTTCAAAGTTCTTCTGATTCTGATCACAGGGTTCTAAGAATGACATGTGTCAATCACTAACAATAGTAATATGCCCTCATAGATATTTATAAGTCCAAACAGTTCTTCACAAGACGCCGTACTTTTTACGCGCTTTGGATCACTTCCGTCCCTGAATTTTCCCACAGTCTAACTTTCATAATCTTTTGATTGATAGAAGCCAAAAAACTAGGCTGAGGTCTCAGAAATATTATAAGTGAAGTGATTTGTCAGAAAGTCTGAACTGATCGTGTCCGATATCCCAGTGCTCAGTGTAAAACCATGCAGGTGCACATTAGCCTTGCGGTTACGTTTCTTCCAAACCTGCTCTTTCAAATAAAATATTGATTGATTGGTTATTTCACAATGCCTCAGGCTGCTTGTAGAATGATTATGACAACTAACTCATCTTATTTTAGGACCTACGTTATTAGAATAAGGAAAGAAAATTCAGGGAACCATATTTTGTGTTAGATCACTGAAATTTTGGTAATTTTCCTTTTCTTTTCTTCCTTACTCTTCTCTTTCTTTCCTCTTCCCTTCCCTTCGCTTTTTTTCTCTCCTCTTTTTTCTTCTTTTCCTTGGCTTACATACTACCGTGAAAGATTTCTGGTCGGCCATTCAAAGCGCGTTAGATTTGGACACGGCACGGTCACGATGCTGCACGACTATATCAAGGGTTATTTTAATATCATATCCACGGTATGTTGTCAGTTGTCTTTGTTATAAACTTTTGTCCTCAGCGCACCACTATTAACGGTCCCCATCTTATTTGCGATCTTAAGCGTTGCGATAGTCTTATTTTTTTAAGATTAATGGTATTCAGTATAAGATAGCCGCTTAATGATAGCATTGATCTATATACAACCCCGTATAAGCTTTAGAGCAGGGATGACAGAAGCTAGTAGTCTAGTATTTGTTTTGCTTTACGCCGCATACTCTACAGGTCCCAGCGTACTTATAGCATGGTATGGATTGAGAGAGACGTTGAGTGGTGCATTAAGTGGTAGTTTTCATGATATTGCTTTTATAAAATTCTTGACGACTTCGCAATAAGAGCATGTCTCTGCACTCTGATATTATCTCAAACATACTTTACTACGACAATTCAGGCCTTAATGTATCAATAGTAACGCCCTCGTAAATACGTACAATAAACCTTAATAACCATGTAATGCGGAAACCGGCTGAGACCACTAGTTAAAAGTATGCGTGTACCCATTAGAGTAACATGTCTGTGTCTCTTAAAGTGTCTTTTAAATCTCTTAATCAAAAAGCAGGCCTTTATGTATCAATAGTAACGCCCTTGTAAATACGTACCATTAAAATAACGTGTCTCTGTCTGTGACATTATCTCACTGAAATACATTATATTCAGGCCTGAATGTATCAATAGTAACGTTTTGCTTAAGGTTAGCACCTTCTGTGAGTTTGCCATGCCATGACTTTGATCAGCAAAGAGGTTGTTTTAGGGTTCGGTCTGAGTTAGCCGTGCCCTGACTTAGGTCAGCCAAGAAGTTGTTTCAGGGTTTAATCTGTGAGTTAGCCATGCCCTGACTTAGATCAGCCAAGAGGTTGTTTCAGAGTTTGATCTGTGAGTAAGCTGTGCCCTGACTTAGATCAGCCAAGAGGTTGTTTCAGGGTTTGATCTGTGAGTAAGCTGTGCCCTGACTTAGATCAGCCCTGAGGTTGTTTCAGGGTTTGATCTGTGAGTAAGCTGTGCCCTGACTAAGATCAGCCCTGAGGTTGTTTCAGGGTTTGATCTGTGAGTAAGCTGTGCCCTGACTAAGATCAGCCCAGAGGTTGTTTCAGGATATCGATAAACGTTTAAAGGCTTAAAGGTTCTCTCCTCACCAATCTGCATATACGCGCACGACTCTCAAAAGTGTTAAAGTGTTTTCTTTCATGAAACGATAAACAAGGAATTAAGTTTCCCTAAGGAGTTAACAGCATTCGAGTGCGCTTACTTTTATTCACTCACGGCCTCTTTGTTATGTCTACAGACATCCATTTTCTTTACTTTTATAAAGAATAATATCATATCGTATTTTGAGCTATCATAAGTAGTTTGTTAATCGGCCAGGCCAGACAAGAAGACGCCTGATGGAAAGAAACAGCAACAAGTCCTTCAAATCACTAGTTTTCACCTCTAGCTCCATCTACTAACGTGAGGCGGATTTCAAAAGAAAGACGTCGCGCGCAATAGATCTCCTTAGATCTCCTTGACTTGGGTGTAATGTTTTACCGTTATCAATTCTTTGTTTAACGTTTGCGCACGACAATATACATGATGATGGAAATTCCAGCTCCATCTAATAACGCAAGGCAGATTTCAAAAGAAAGAAGTCGTGCGAATTAAGATCTCCTTAGATCTCCTTGGCATTAGCAAAATGTCTTACATTATCCATTCTGTGTTTAACGGTTGCGCACGACAAGATGAACGTGAAAATTTCAGAAAGCTCATTTCTCGCAGATTATCCAAAAGCCAAAAGCTGCTAAAAGAAAGAAGTCGTGAGCAATCAATCTCCTTAGATCTCCTTGGCATCGACGTAATGTTTTACCATTATCATTTCTTTGTTTAACGGCTGCGCACGACAAAATATACATGAAAATTCCCGAAAGTTCAATGCCCACAGACTAGCCAGAAGCTGGCGGAACTTCAAACGTCCATCTTTATATTGACCAGACATTAATCAATATCTGAAAGGAACTGGTATCTTTTTCATTAAATCGCCTTTGTTATCAAGATGTCTTAACTTTCTTTTTCTCGGCTTTCAATAGTTTTAACATGAGATTATAATAAAACTATTAATCTTCTATTGGCATTTTTCCCCCTTCTTCTTGGTCTTTCTCTTCTTGTTATTCTTAATTCTACTTTCTTAATCTTGTTCTTCTTTTCCTGCTTCTTCAGTGTTCTTTATTGACCTAACCTAACCTAACCTAACCTAACCTAACCTAACCTAACCTAACCTA